GACTAACACAGCCCATAGACTCAACACTGCCCATAGACTCACCACTGCCCATAGACTCAACACTGCCCATAGACGCAACACTGCCCATAGACTCAACACTGCCCATAGAATCAACACTACCCATAGACTCAACACTGCCCATAGACTCAACACTACACATAGACTCAACACAGCCCACAGACTCAACACTACCCATAGACTCAACACTACACATAGACTCAACACTGCCCATAGACTCAACACTACCCATAGACTCAACACTGCCCATAGACTCAACACTGCTCATAGACTCAACACTACCCATAGACTCAGCACCGCCCATAGACTCAACACTACCCATAGACTCAACACTACCCATAAACTCAACACTGCCCATAGACTCAACACTGCCCACAGACTCAACACTGCCCATAGACTCAACACTGCCCATAGACTCAACACTGCCCATAGACTCAACACTGCCCATAGACTCAGCACTACCCATAGACTCAGCACTGCCCATAGACTCAACACTACCCATAGACTCAACACTACCCATAGACTCAACACTGCCCATAGACTCAACACTGCCCATAGACTCAACACTACCCATAGACTCAACACCGCCCATAGACTCAACACCGCCCATAGACTCAGCACTGCACCTCCGTTTAGCGCGGTTGCTTCCGCACGGGCGCGAACGAAGCTCAACGTACACACGCGCGGGGCTGGACTCGCGGACGACAATTCCCAAATATCGGGGAGGCTCAACCAGAGACACGGCGCTGGAAACTGACAAAACCTCCGCCCCCCGCCCCCCGCCGCCCGGCCACCCGGCCGGCCCGGCCCATCTCCACGTGTGCCCAACTGGAGGCGCGAGCCGCGGTAGTTCAAATCCAAAAACCCGGCCGCGTCGTCGTCCCGTCGAGGGGGAGGCCACGGGAGTTGAACTCGGGGCGGCAAAGCTTCGTCAGCGTGATCGTCGTCGTCTTGGGGAGAAGGGGGAGTTGGGCAAGATATCTGTCCATGCTTCACCGCTCTGGTGGGTGTGTGTGTGATCTGGTGGAGACGCAATGCGCACGCGTGCACACGCACACAGCAGCGGAGAAATAATTAGGCAGTGGCACTGCGACGATGATGACGATGATGACATCGTGATCATGACGAGGAAGACATCATCAACATGACGTCATCATCGTGTTGTCATCACCACGATGTCATCATGGTGATGACATCGTCGTGACGTCATAATCATGATGATGACATCACGACGATGACGTCACGACGACGATGACATCATCACCATGAATTACAACACTGACCCCCGTCGCACAGCTCTCTGTGATCTGGCGCCTCTGATTTAATTGATGCAAATTCTATTCAAATTGGTTTGGCGTCATATATTTGAAACGGCTCTTCCTTGCACTTTTGGCAATTAACGTCAATGAACAAGAAGTCTCATACCTCCCCCCCCCCCCCCACGATTTATCCCGTAAGAGCCAAAGCCAGTGCCTCATTTCAAAATCCATCCCTACTTATCGTAGCGTAAACCTCTGGATACGATTTAAGGGGGGGGGGGGGGGGGCAAATTCAGGGCTACAAGAACGCCGTAGCATTGGTAGGGGTCAGCAAGCCTTGTTCCCTAGTGGCAGTGCGCACAGCTGTCAACCCATCACGGTTTGCCCTCCGCATTCTTGTGCAGGGAACTTGGGATTTCAGGTCCAGACGGGCGTACGGCCGTTTCAGTACGGGCAAAAAAATGTTTGTCTATTTGTGTTGTGTTTCTCCCTTGTGATGGGACTTTGTGGGGTGAACGTTGAGATTTACAAGGGGCACGGAGTCAACAACAAGATCGGAATTGGTCTGTGGTAAGGTGGGGCACTGATAAGGGGTATGGTAATGTATAGTGTAGTGTATATTGTAGTGTATAGTGTAGTGTATAGTAGTGTAGTGTATAGTAGTGTAGTGTATAGTGTAGTGTATAGTAGTGTAGTGTATAGTGTAGTATATAGTGGATAGTAGTCTAGTGTATAGCAGTGTATAGCAGTGTATAGTAGTGTATAGTCGTGTACAGCAATGTATAGTAGTGTAGTGTATAGCAGTGTATAGTAGTGTAGTGTATAGCAGTGTATAGTAGTGTATAGTGTAGTGTATAGTAGTGTAGTGTATAGTGTAGTGTATAGTAGTGTATAGTAGTGTAGTGTATAGTAGTGTAGTGTATAGTGTAGTGTATAGCAGTGTATAGCAGTGTATAGCAGTGTATAGTAGTGTAGTGTATAGCAGTGTATAGTAGTGTATAGTGTAGTGTACAGTGTAGTCTATAGTAGTGTAGTGTATAGTAGTGTAGTGTATAGTAGTGCAGTGTATAGCAGTGTAGTGTATAGCAGTGTATAGTAGTGTATAGTGTAGTGTATAACTGTGTAGTGTATAGCAGTGTATAGCAGTGTAGTGTATAGTAGTGTAGTGTATAGCAGTGTAGTGTATAGTAGTGTAGTGTATAGCAGTGTATAGCAGTGTAGTGTATAGTAGTGTAGTGTATAGTAGTGTAGTGTATAGCAGTGTATAGTAGTGCATAGTGTAGTGTAAAGTAGTGTAGTGTATAGCAGTGTATAGTAGTGTATAGTGTAGTGTATAGTGTAGTGTATAGTAGGGCAGTATATAGTAGTGTAGTGTATAGTAGTGCAGTGTATAGTAGCGTAGTGTATAGCAGTGTATAGTAGTGTAGTGTATAGCAGTGTATAGTAGTGTATAGTGTAGTGTATAGTAGTGTAGTGTATAGTGTATAGTAGTGTAGTGTATAGCAGTGTATAGTAGTGTAGTGTATAGCAGTGTATAGTAGTGTATAGTGTAGTGTATAGTAGTGTAGAGTATAGTAGTGCAGTGTATAGCAGTGTATAGTAGTGTAGTGTATAGCAGTGTATAATAGTGTATAGTGTAGTGTATAGTAGTGTAGTGTATAGCAGTGTATAGTAGTGTATAGTGTAGTGTATAGTAGTGTAGTGTATAGTGTAGTGTATAGTGTTGTGTATAGTAGTGTAGTGTATAGCAGTGTATAGTGTAGTGTATAGTAGTGTAGTGTATAGTAGTGTAGTGTATAGTAGTGTATAGTGTAGTGTATAGTAGTGTAGTGTATAGCAGTGTATAGTAGTGTATAGTGTAGTGTATAGCTGTGTAGTGTATAGCAGTGTATAGCAGTGTAGTGTATAGTAGTGTAGTGTATAGTAGTATAGTAGAGCATAGTAGTGCAGTTTATAGCAGTGTATAGTAGTGTAGTGTATAGCAGTGTAAAGTAGTGTATAGTGTAGTGTATAGTAGTGTAGTGTATAGCAGTGTATAGTAGTGTATAGTGTAGTGTATAGTAGTGTAGTGTATAGCAGTGTATAGTAGTGTATAGTTTAGTGTATAGTAGTGTAGTGTATAGTGTAGTGTATAGTGTTGTGTATAGTAGTGTAGTGTATAGGAGTGTATAGTGTAGTGTATAGTAGTGTAGTGTATAGTAGTGTATAGTGTAGTGTATAGTGGTGTAGTGTATAGCAGTGTATAGTAGTGTATAGTGTAGTGTATAGTAGTGTATAGTAGTGTATAGTGTAGTGTATAGTAGTGTATAGTGTAGTGTATAGTAGTGTATAGTGCAGTGTATAGTAGTGTATAGTAGTGTATAGTGTAGTGTATAGTAGTGTATAGTGTAGTGTATAGTAGTGTGGTGTATAGCAGTGTATAGTAGTGTATAGTGTAGTGTATAGTAGTGTAGTGTATAGTGTAGTGTATAGTAGTGTATAGTAGTGTAGTGTATAGTAGTTCAGTGTATAGTGTAGTATATAGTGTAGTGTATAGTAGTGTAGTGTATAGTAGTGTATAGCACTGTATAGTAGTGTATAGTGTAGTGTATAGTGTAGTGTATAGTGTAATGCACACCGTGTCAACCCACACGGTTCACCCCGTATTATTGCGCAGGGAAATTGAGATTTCAGGTCCAGACGGGCGTACGGCCGTTTCAGTACGGGCAAAAAACCCCACCCCGTAATTTTGGTCTATTTGCATTTCTCCCTTGCGATGGGACTTTGTAGGATGAACGTTGAGATTTATGATGGGTACGGGGTGACCAACACGTTCTCAATTGGTCTATGATAATGCGGGCACCGATAAGGGGTTGACAGGTATGGCAACACCTAAAGCCGACAGTCCCCTATTGCAAGGCCGAACCGCTTGCATCGAGCGACCCGGAGAATATCGAGCGAGGGATCGACGATCTTTGTCCACGGCCTCGCGATGGAACGGGGAAAGAAAATATCTGCAGCGTCCGCTCCGTCACCGTGCGGCAGCCACGCCTGGTGCATGGACCCAGCACCAATGGGGGGGGGGGGGGACAAGAGAGGGGTGGAAGAGGTGCGGCTATCGTCGTCATCGTCATCATTGTCATCGTCATCATCATTGTCGTCATCGTCATCATTGTCGTCGTCATCGTCATCATTGTCATCGTCATCATCATTGTCGTCATCATCATCATTGTCGTCATCGTCATCATTGTCGTCGTCATCGTCGTCGTCATCATCATCATTGTCGTCATCATCATTGTCGTCATCATCATCATTGTCGTTGTCGTCATCGTCATCATCGTCGTCGTCATCATCAAAAACCTTTATTATGAATAATCTTCATTGTCGTCATCATCGTCGTCATCATCATTGTTATCGTCGTCATCATCATCATTGCCGTTGTCGTAATCATCACCAACGTCATCATCATCATCACCGTAGTCATCATCATCGTCGTCTTCATTATCGTCATCGTCGTCACCATCGTCACCATCGTCACCATCGTCATCGTTATCGTCGTCATCGTCACCGTCGTCACCATCGTCATTGTCGTCGTCATCGTCGTCACCATCGTCATCGTCGTCACCATCGTCACCGTCATCACCATCGTCATCGTCGTCGTCATCGTCGTCACCATCGTCATCGTCGTCGTCATCGTCACCATCATCGTCATCATCATCATCGTCACCATCGTCATCGTCGTCGTCACTGTCGTCACCATCGTCATCATCGTCGTCATCATTGTCGTCACCATCGTCACCATCGTCATCGTCGTCGTCACCGTCGTCACCGCCGCCATCACTTGAGATCGACGTCGTCTCCCTCGTCAAGCGACGCCGACAGGCGGAAGGGGCTCGACGGCTCGGCGCCCCCGGCGGGCCGCGGCCTCCTCCTGCCGCGCGCCGCGGCCACGCACGCCGTGGCGAGGCCGGCCACCGCCGCCGCGTCCGACGCGACCGACACGCACGCCGCCATCACTCCGCCACCGCAGGCAGCGCCGGCGGCGGCCTCCTGCGACACGCCGGCCGAGGGGGGCGTCTCGGTGCCCCCCGCCGAGGAGGACGACTCGAAGCTGCGAGATGTGAACCTGGGGGGGCGGGGGTGGGGTGGGTGGGGGAGGGGGGGGCAGGTGGTTATGGGTGAAGAAGAGCTTCGTAGCTCATCGGATTCTTCCGGCGTAAGTAACAGATTCTGATGGCTCTAATGGTGGCGTCGTCGTTGTGGGGTTTTAATGTTCTGGGAGCGGAAGCAGCGGCAGAATGTCTCGTAATTGATTGTGTGCAGGTTGAATTTCGCACCGCACGTTGCCAACCACGCTAATCGGAGGTGCAGTGTTGAGTCTATGGGCAATGTTGAGTCTATGGGTAGTGTTGAGTCTATGGGTAGTGTTGAGTCTATGGGCAGTGTTGAGTCTATGGGCAGTGTTGAGTCTATGGTGCAGTGTTGAGTCTATGGGCAGTGTTGAGTCTATGGGCAGTGTTGAGTCTATAGTGCAGTGTTGAGTCTATGGGTAGTGTTGAGTCTATGGGCAGTGGTTGAGTCTATGGGCAGTGTTGAGTCTATGGGCAGTCTTCTTTGGTTCTTTCGGTAAAGTCACGTAGAATGATAATAAAATAATAAATTGATAAAATAAAATAACGCAATAATATTCTCACGACGTTTCGGCCACAACACAAGCGGCCTTCATCAGGTGAAGGGGGCGAGACTGTCTGGTAGGACAGCGCTGGAGTGAAAGAGCCACGTTTTAAATCGAAATTTAACCGCCTCTACGGGGAGGGATTCCACACATCCTTAAGATCATTCAACAGACTTCGGGATAAGAAGGCTCAACTAATCGAGTCTCTCACCTTTCTGAAGAGATGCCGCGACTCTAAGGCGCTTTGTTCCTCTCACACAGCTTAAAGGCCGTATCTGAACGTGGCTCTTTCACTCCAGCGCTGTCCTACCAGACAGTCTCGCCCCCTTCACCTGATGAAGGCCACTTGTGTTGTGGCCGAAACGTCGTGAGAATATTATTGTGTTATTTTATTTTATCAATTTATTATTTTATTATCAGTCTACGTGACTTTTCCGAAAGAACCAAAGAAGATGAATCATTGCAGTCACGAAAGCTTTAAATCGAAATCTATGGGCAGTGTCGAGTCTATGGGTAGTGTTGAGTCTATGGACAGTGTGGAGTCTATGGTAGTGTTGAGTCTATGGGCAGTGTTGAGTCTATGGGTAGTGTTGAGTCTATGGGCAGTGTTGAGTCTATGGGCAGTGTTGAGTCTATGGGCAGTGTTGAGTCTATGGGTAGTGTTGAGTCTATGGGCAGTGTTCAGTCTATGGGCAGTGTTGAGTCTATGGGCAGTGTTGAGTCTATGGGCAGTGTTAAGTCTATGGGTAGTGTTGAGTCTATGGGCAGTGTTGAGTCTATGGGTAGTGTTGAGTCTATGGGTAGTGTTGAGTCTATGGGCAGTGTTGAGTCTATGGGCAGTGTTGAGTCTATGGGCAGTGTTGAGTCTATGGGCAGTGTTGAGTCTATGGGCAGTGTTGAGTCTATGGGCAGTGTTGAGTCTATGGGTAGCGTTGAGTCTATGGGCAGCGTTGAGTCTACGAGCAGTGTTGAGTGTATGGGCAGTGTTGAGTCTATGGGCAGTGTTGAGTCTATGGGTAGTGTTGAGTCTATGGGCAGTGTTGAGTCTATGGGCAGTTTTGAGTCTATGGGTAGTGTGTGTGTCGGCGTATGTGTGTTATATGAAAACTAGCCTGCACATTTGAATTATTATTTGAGGTTGTGATTTATATTTTAACTGGGGCAAAACAACCCCCTACCTCCTCGCGGTGCCGGACGGGCAACTCTGTCGTGGACAGTGCTGTGGGGGGAGTTCCACTTTTGATTGGCTCCTCCCCTCATGGCATATGTGTCCACCACAGGGGCTAAACGGGGGCTCTGGACGGGTGCGAGGGGCTGGTAACCCCTCCACCTTCAATTAATTACCACAAAACCACGAATTAAAGTGAAATATGTAACAACTAAGCTTGTGCCGGAGGCCCCGGGGGGCCAGGCGTCTATGACGTCTCCTGGCCAAACCCCAATTGGCGGAGCCAGGAGATTGAATACCTACCCTCGGGGCTACTCCAGAAACAACGAAAAGCCACTACGGGTGGCCACGTGGAATGTTCGAACGCTCACTGCAGAGGAGAGGCTGCCACTCCTCTGTCGGGAGCTGGACCGGTACCGCCTGGATCTATGCGGCATTCAGGAGGTCCGGTGGACCGGCTCTGGCTCCTGCCACCATGAGGGGTGGACAGTCCTCTACTCGGGGCAGCAGACTGCCAAACAACAGGGTGTGGGTCTTCTTTTGAATAAAAGAATGAAGGGGGCGTGGGAGCGTGGCGGTGAGGTGTGGGAAGCTGTAAGCCCCAGGCTACTTTGGGCTCGCCTTCCCATCAACCGGAGGCGAGGAATGGTGGTCGTGGTTACTTATGCCCCCACCGAAGATGAACATCCGTGGAGGGATGCAGGCAAAGCCGATGAGTCAGATGCCTTCTATGACCTCCTGTCACAGGTGCTGGCTAAAGTGGCCCCTCGGGATAGAGTCATCATGTTGGGTGACTTCAATGCCCGAGTTGGTCATGATACTGGCACCTGGTCTGGAGTGATTGGAGGGCATGGGCCAGATCAGCTCAATAACAACGGTAGGAGGCTGCTAGATTTTTGTGCAGCCCATGGGCTTGTAATTACCAACACGCTGTTCCGGCATCGGCGCATCCACACAACATCATGGATGCATGCCGGGTCCAAGCAAGAACATCTGCTGGACTACATAGTGACGGACCAGCGAATGCGAGCCCATGTCCTTGACACCAGGACCTACCGTGGAGCTGATCTGCCCTCTGACCATCGACTAGTCATCTGTAAGATGCGCCTGCCATTCTTCCACTCCGGTGGTGGGTGTACACCCAGGACCCCATTCCAACCTAAAGTGGCCTGGTCTCAGTTATCTGATGAAAGTTGCAAGCGAGAATTTCATCATCGCTTGCGGCTGGGATTGGCATAGTCCCCGACTCCTCCTGATGTCGAGGGTAAATGGGCGAGGTTTAGGACTGTGACTCATGCAGCTGCAATGGCTGCTTTGGGTACGCGGTCCAGACCTCCCCAGACACCCTGGATGACAGAGGAGTTGTTCAGGATGGTTGAGAAAAAGCGACAGGCCCACTGTCATCGGCTACAGAATCCCACGTCAGAGAATGAGGAGGCTTACCGCAGCCTTCGCTCGGAGGTTCGGAGAGCCGTGAGGCGCTGCAAGGATGGGTGGTGGTCGCGGGTTGCTGAGGAGATGGAGTCTGCCTCAGTGGCCCGTGATCACAAATCGCTATTTAACTCCATCAAAAAAGTAACCTGCAGCGCCACACCTATTACCATCATTAGGGGAAAAAACGGTGATCCAATTTCCGACCCCCAGGAACAGGTTCGCAGATTTGCTGAGCATTTCTGTGAGGTCCTGGGGGAGGGAAAATCCCACAGCCAGGAAAACATCGTGGCACAAAGTGAGGATGACCCTGCTGAGGCTGCGGTGCCTCAAATATTGGATGAAGTCACCCCCTGTGAGTGGCTGGCTGAGGTGCCATCTGCTGAGGAAGTATTGAAGGCGATCCAGTGTCTGAGACCAGGAAAGGCAGCGGGCAGAGATGATCTCCCAAGCGAAATGCTGAGGGAGGGTGGCGTTTGTGCACAGACTGCCCTATATGACATCATAACAACAGTCTGGACCACTGGACGGGTTCCGCAGGATTGGAAGGATGCCCTGGTGGTCCCCCTTTTTAAGAAGGGGGACCGCACAGACTGTAACAACTACAGGGGCATCTCACTCCTCAGTGTGCCGGGAAAGGTCCTGGCAAGGATTATTCAGCATCGCCTTGCCAGGCACGCTGAGGAGAGGCTTGCGGAGCCCCAATGCGGTTTCAGGAAAGGGCGGTCCTGCACAGATGCCATATTTTCTGTCCGTCTGCTACAGCAGAGGTGTAGGGAATTCCAACAAGACCTACATCTCTGCTTTATTGACCTGGTCAAGGCCTATGATACCATCAGTAGGCCTGGGCTCTGGGTCGTTCTTCGTGCTTTTGGAGTACCTGACCCTCTGCTCACGATCATTAAGGACCTTCATGATGGTGAGCGGGCCCGGGTAAAACTACGTGGCCGGGAGTCAGAGCCATTCCCTGTACACCTTGGGGTGCGACAGGGATGTCCTCTGGCTCCCACATTATTTAACATCTATTTTGACCACGTAGTTCGTGAAGCCTTCAATAGCTGTACCGGGGGAATCTCCATATGGTACAGATATAATGGGAGGCTAATCGATGCCCGGGTGCGGTCAAGGGATGGCTCCCTATTGCTCAACCACGTTATGTATGCTGATGACTTGGTAATAGCTGCTCAGTCAGAGGAGGAGTTGGAGACGCTGCTGCTGAGACTGGAGCGTGCCACTAAGAGGTGGGGCCTTACCATCAGCCCCACCAAAACTAAGCACCTGCCTGGGTATTTTGTACCATCGGACACTCCACCCCCACAACTCCCAATCGGTGATGGGGCAGTTGTGGAGAGAGTGGAGAGTTTCCCATACCTGGGCAGTGTGCTTATGACTAGCTCCAGTTTAACAGCAGAGGTCTCACTCCGAATCAGTCGAGCGGCAATATCTTTTCATCGGTTGCGTAACGCTGTGTGGAAGCTACCTGGTCTGTCGCTCCGCACTAAGCTTCAGGTCTTCTCGGCCACGGTCATTCCCTCCCTTCTCTACGCTTGCGAAACGTGGACCCCCCTAATGGAACATCTTCGCCGGTTAGAAACATTTAGGCTGACCTGCCTACGATCCATCCTGGGTTTAACCAGACTGGATTTGGTGAGGAGCTCACAAATCCTTGAAAGATCTGGGCAGGGTCCCATCGGTGAGCTCCTCAGGCAGGCAAGGCTGCGATGGCTGGGTCATGTAGCCCGCATGCCCAGCCACCGCATGCCGAAACAGCTTTTGTTTGGCCGGATTGAGGGGGCTAAGCGGGCGCGGCACGGGCTAGAGAAGAGATGGAGTGATGTGGTACAGGAGGACGTGGAGCTGAGTGGACTTGCCGATGACTGGTACCAGCGGTGTCAAGATCGGCCTCTGTGGAGGAGGCTCGTGAAGGATGCTACTGGGCAGTTGGAGGCAGTCGCCCTCCAACAACAACGGAGGGCGGAGGAGCGACGCTCACAACAGCGAGCGGAGCGCCGGGTGGCTAAAGCACAGCAGGTTGGCACAGTAGGGGGCACAGGTGGTGCATCAGCCAGTCATCTCAGTCAGTCGACCCGTGGCACCTGGGTCTGCCCCGTGACCTCCTGCCAGCGGGCGTTCGACACTTCACGTGGCCTCAGGGTGCACATAGCCTGGCACAAGCGTCGTGGTGACGTCACCGCCACTTAGTGGCGAATGGCGGTTGTTGTTGTTGTTATAGTGTGGTGGTTAGCGCTACGCTGCGCTACAAACCCGGCGACCAGAGTTAGACTCCTGCTCACTCAAACGAGTACCTGGTGCGGTGTGTAGTAAACATCGCCACTAGGAAGACAAAGGCGGCCGGGCGTGGTTGCTGACCACCCATCCCCTCGTGCGCCATGCCAGCCTTCATAGCTGCTGCTCGCTGACAGCACTTGCCCCAACAGTCTATTTAGTTTATATGGGGGATCTTTGTCTTTGTGTGTAATAGGTGACACACACACATGGTGAGTCGCGTGTGTGTCTGTGTGTGTCTGTGTGTCTCTGTGTGTCTGTGTGTGTGTGTCTGGAAGAAGTCACCCCCTGTGAGTGGTTGGCTGAGGTGCCATCTGTTGTGGACTGAAGGCAATCCGGAGTCTGAGACCAGGAAAGGCAGCGGGCAGAGATGATCTCCTAAGTGAAATGCTGAGGGAGGGTGGCGTTTGTGCACAGACTGCCCTATATGACATCATAACAACAGTCTGGACCACCGGACAGGTTCCGCAGGATTGGAAGGATGCCCTGGTGGTCCCCCTCTTTAAGAAGGGGGACCGCACAGACTGTAGCAACTACAGGGGCATCTCACTCCTCAGTGTGCCGGGAAAGGTCCTGGCAAGGATTATTCAACATCGCCTTGCCAGGCACGCTGAGGAGAGGCTTGCGGAGCCCCAATGCGGTATCAGGAAAGGGCGGTCCTGCACAGATGCCATATTTTCTGTCCGTCTGCTACAGCAGAGGTGTAGGGAATTCCAACAAGACCTACATCTCTGCTTTATTGACCTGGTCAAGGCCTATGATACCAACAGTAGGCCTGGGTTCTGGGTTGTTCTTCGTGCTTTAGGAGTCCCTGACCCTCTGCTTACGATCATTAAGGACCTTCATGATGGTGAGCGGGCCCGGGTAAAACTACGTGGCCGGGAGTCAGAGCCATTCCCTGTACACCTTGGGGTGCGACAGGGATGTCCTCTGGCTCCCACATTATTTAACATCTATTTTGACCACGTAGTTCGTGAAGCCTTCAATAGCTGTACCGGAGGAATCTCCATTTGGTACAGATATAATGGGAGGCTGATCAATGCCCGGGTGCGGTCAAGGGATGACTCCCTATTGCTCAACCACGTTATGTATGCCGATGATTTGGTAATATTTCGATTTAAAGCTTTCGTGACTGCAAGGATTCATCTTCTTGGTTCTTTCGGTAAAGTCACGTAGAATGAGAATAAAATAAAATAATAAAATAAGACAATAAAAATTCTCACGACGTTTCGGCCACAACACAAGTAGCCTTCTTCAGGTGAAAGAACAGAACTGTCGGGACGACAGCGCTTCAATGAGCGCTGCTAAGATTCGCAGCGTCATTATATAAAGCTATATGGCGACTTATTGTTGTGTTGCTCAGCTGATTGGAGAGTATATATAGTTTATTGATAACATTGAGGCAGTTTAAATGTTTTTTCTCTATTGGTTTACTATGTGGTTTTCATTATATAATGTAGTGTATACCCAGTTGCTTTGTGATTAATGGCTCAGCTTATTGAGGAATATATTGAGTACATTTATTATATTGATGTAGTGTTTACTTGGTCCTCTCACATCGGTTTACTGTATGATGGTTGGGTATTTGGAGTCCTTTAGCGTCCTTGTGCTAAATGCCTGTGTTGATATGTAAACTTTGACTTTAACATATCTATTTCTGTCACAAGCTAATCCCTCAACTATTTCAATGCTAAATTCTCCGGCTTTGATATGTAAACTCCTTTGTCAAGGCGTCTTCACGCCTCTCACTGAGCTTAAAAGACACTACGAATCTTAGCAGCGCTCATTGAAGCTCTGTCGTCCCGACACATTTGTTCTTTCACCTGAAGAAGGCTACTTGTGTTGTGGCCGAAACGTCGTGAGAATTTGATTGTCTGATTTTATTTTATTATATTATTTTATTCTAATTCTACGTGACTTTACCGAAAGAACCAAGAAGATTTGGTAATAGCTGCTCATTCAGAGGAGGAGTTGGAGATGCTGCTCCTGAGATTGGAGCATGCCACTAACAGATGGGGCCTTACCATCAGCCCCACCAAAACTAAGCACCTGCCTGGGTATTTTGGACCATTGGACACTCCACCCCCACAACTCCCAATCGGTGATGGGGCAGTTGTGGAGATAGTGGAGAGTTTCCCATACCTGGGCAGTGTGCTTATGACCGGCTCCAGTTTAACAGCAGATGTCTCACTCCGAATCAGTCGAGCGGCAATATATTTTCATCGGTTGCGTAACACTGTGTGGAAGCTACCTGGTCTGTCGCTCCGCACTAAGCTTCAGGTCTTCTCGGCCACGGTCATTCCCTCCCTTCTCTACGCTTGCGAAACGTGGACCACCCTAATGGAAAATCTTCGCCAGTTGGAAACATTTAGGCTAGCCTGCCTACGAGGCAGTCGCCCTCCAACAACAACGGAGGGTGGAGGAGCAACGCTCACAACAACGAGCGGAGCGCTGGGTGGCTAAAGCACAGCAGGTTGTCACAGTAGGGGGCACAGGTGGAGCATCAGCCAGCCATCTCGGTCATCTCAGTCAGTCGACCCGTGGCACCTGGGTCTGCCCCGTGACCTCCTGCCAGCGGGCGTTCGACACTTCACGTGGCCTCAAGGTGCACATGGCCTGGCACAAGCGTCGTGGTGACGTCACCGCCACTTAGTGGCGAATGGCGGCTGTTGTTGTGTATGTGTGTCTGTGTGTGTGTTACTGTGTGTGTCTGTGTGTGTCTCTGTGTGTCTGTGTGTGTCTTTGTGCGTCACCTGTCGCTGCTGGTGGACCGTGGGGGGCAGGCTCTCTCCCCGGAGTGCCCCCCCCCCCGTGGCCACCTTTGCTTCCCGCTGGCAGCGTCGCCTCGGGCCTGCGGGAGATCTTCAGAGAGCCCTGCACACCGCGTTTGTGACCGTGTATTACCATCGCTGCTGTCGTCCTTCTCGTTCTTGTTGTCGTCCTTGTCGTCCTTGTCGTCGTCGTTGTCGTCGTTGCGCTTGTTGACCCGGGAAATGCCTTTTTGGGTTCCTCCCTGACTTTTGGTCACACCGCTGAGCCGTGGGCGCCGCGGTGGCTATGAGATGTTAACTACCTCGCCTGGTATACAGGAGGTCGTGGGTTCGGTGCGGACTCTGACGCCTGCTGCTGTATATTTGGAGTTTGTGTGTGTCTCTCTCTCTCATCATCATCACGGTGGCTAGGAGATGTTAACTACCTCGCCTGGTGTGCAGGAGGTCGTGGGCTCGATGCGGACTCTGACGCCTGCTGCTGTATATTTGGAGTTTGTATCTCTCTCTCATATTATCATCACGGTGGCTAGGAGATGTTAACTACCTCGCCTGGTGTACAGGAGGTCGTGGGCTCGATGCCGACCCTGACGCCTGCTGCTGTATATTTGGAGTTTGCGGTGTCTCTCTCTCTCTCTCTGTGGTCGCGTGGATTTTTGTCCGGGTCCTCCGGATTTTCCCTCTCCATTTAAAATCAACGTGACGTCTATTCACCCACCCAGTCGTCCATTCATCCATCCAGTCGGCCATTAATCCGTCCTCTCGTCCATTCACCTGTCCACTCGCCCCATCCGTCCGTCTAGTCGTCCACTCATCCACTCGCCCGTCCACTCATCCACTCGTCCATCCACTCGACCACTCGCCCATCCACTCGTCCACCCGTCCACTCGTCCACCAGCCCCGAGCTCACCCAGCAGCTCCCTACGCGTGCGCGTCGCGATCTCCTTGATCTCCATGCGCGTCGACGGCAGGGAGTGCGACGCCGGGATGAGGGGCGGCTGGGCGGCCCCCCCACCGCCGCCGCCGGCGGGGGCCGCCTGGGGGCTCGTGGCCACGGCCACCAGGGGGGACTTCAGGGGCCTCTCGATGCTGCGCCCCACCAGGTTGCTCAGGGGGATCTTGTAGATGTGGCGTGGCTGATGCTCCCCTGTTGGGGGGGGGGAGGGGCGGGGGGTGGAGGGTGGAGGAGGTACAACATCAGCAGTGCGACCGTCACCGCCGTGCGTCACCACCACACCTCACCACCACTCGTCACCATCACGCGTCACCACCACACGTCACCACCACGCGTCACCACCACACGTCACCACCACGCGTCACCACCACTCGTCACCACCACGCGTCACCGCGACACGTCACCGCCACACGTCACCACAACATGTCACCACCACACGTCACCACCACTCATTACCGCCGCGCGTCACCACCACACGTCACCACCACACGTCACCACCACACGTCACCACCACACGTCACCGCCACACGTCACCACCACGCATCACCACCACACGTCACCGCCACGCCTCACCGCCACGCGTCACCGCCACGCGTCACCACCACACGTCACCGCCACACATCACCGCCACACCTCACCGCCACACGTTACCGCCACACGTCACCACCACTCGTCACCACCACTCGTCACCGCCACACGTCACCACCACTCGTCACCACCACTCGTCACCGCCACACGTCACCACCACTCGTCACCGCCACACGTCACCACCACACGTCACCGCCACACGTCACCGCCACGCGTCACCGCCACGCGTCACCACCACACGTCACCGCCACGCCTCACCGCCACGCGTCACCGCCACGCGTCACCACCACACGTCACCGCCACACATCACCGCCACACCTCACCGCCACACGTTACCGCCACACGTCACCACCACTCGTCACCACCACTCGTCACCGCCACACGTCACCACCACTCGTCACCACCACTCGTCACCGCCACACGTCACCACCACTCGTCACCGCCACACGTCACCACCACACGTCACCGCCACACGTCACCGCCACGCGTCACCGCCACGCGTCACCACCACACGTCACCGCCACGCCTCACCGCCACGCGTCACCGCCACGCGTCACCACCACACGTCACCGCCACACATCACCACCACACCTCACCGCCACACGTTACCGCCACGCGTCACCACCACGCGTCACCACCACGCGTCACCACCACTCGTCACCGCCACGCGTCACCACCACTCGTCACCACCACACGTCACCACCACACGTCACCGCCACACGTCACCGCCACACATCACCGCCACACGTCACCACCACTCGTCACCACCACACGTCACCACCACACGTCACCACTACGTGTCACCGCCACGCGTCACCGCCACGCGTCACCGCCACGCGTCACCACCACACGTCACCACCACACGTCACCGCCACACATCACCGCCACACCTCACCGCCACACGTCACCACCACGCGTCACCGCCACACGTCACCGCGGCGCGTGATCCTCACCGTCCTGCGAGAGGGCGGGCGGCAGCGCCGGCTCCTCGTCGCCGGGCGGCGTCTGCGGCGTGGTGACGGCGCTGTGCTCCGTCGAAGCTCTCCGCGATGTCACCAGGCCCGACGCCATGAAGAAGATGTCCGACTACGGGGGGCGGGGGGGAGGGGCGGGGGGCGGTCGTCGTCTCTCTCGTCGCCGCCACCGTGGCGGGGATCTCCGCTGCTGTGGTCGTTATCAATGCGCTTGCTCCACTATTCGGGCAAGTCGCCCGATGACACTGGTTGATGTGATCACCAGCGGAACGTCACACTGCTCAGATTGTAAACGTCGTGGATTTACTCTCCAACACACCGGGAGTAACTACACGATACACTGCACTATACACGACTATACACTGCACTACTATACACTACACTACTATACACTGCACTACTATACACTACACTACTATACACTACACTACTATACACTACACTACTATACACTACACATCTATACACTACACTATACACTACACTACTATACACTACACTACTATACACTACACTACTATACACTACACATCTATACACTACACTATACACTACACTACTATACACTACACTACTATACACTACACATCTATACACTATACACTACACTAATATGCACTGCACTATACACTACTATACACTGCTATACACTACACTACTATACACTACACTATACACTACTATACACTACACTATACACTACTATATACTATACTCGTAAATAATTGGCACGTTGTTTCCATGACAAACCTAACTGGCTGTGTCGGGTGGTGGAGGGTTACAACACAACATTTATACTGACGCAATCGAACCCAACAAACCTTCATTATGAATAATATTGGTCGCGAAAGCCTTCTATGATCTACTGCATCACGCAGCGTCACACAGCGTCACACAGCGTCACACAGCGTCACAGAATGTCAGCGCGCAGCATCACACAGCGTCATCGCGCAGCGTCACACAGCAACACACAGCGTCATCACACAGCGTCATCACACAGCGTCACACAGCGTCACACAGCGTCATCACACAGCAACACACAGCGTCACACAGCAACACACAGCGTCATCACACAGCGTCATCACACAGCAACACACAGCATCACACAGCGTCATCGTGCAGCGTCACACAGCAACACACAGCGTCATCACACAGCATCACACAGCGTCATCACACAGCGTCACACAGCGTCATCGCACAGCGTCACACAGCATCACACAGCATCACACAGCGTCATCACACAGCGTCACACAGCGTCATCGCACAGCGTCACACAGCATCACACAGCGTCACACAGCGTCATCACACAGCGTCACACAGCGTCATCGCACAGCGTCACACAGCATCACACAGCGTCACACAGCGTCATCGCGCAGCGTCACACAGCGTCATCGCACAGCGTCGCACAGCGTCATCACACAGCGTCAGTGCGCAGCATCACACAGCGTCATCACACAGCGTCACACAGCGTCATCACACAGCGTCACACAGCGTCATCACACAGCGTCACACAGCAACACACAGCGTCATCACACAGCGTCACACAGCGTCATCACACAGCGTCACACAGCGTCATCGCGCAGCGTCACACAGCGTCAGCGTGCAGCGTCACACAGCGTCAGCGCATAGCGTCACACAGCGTCATCACACAGCGTCATCGCGCAGCGTCACACAGCGTCATCACACAGCGTCACACAGCGTCATCACACAGCGTCACACAGCGTCATCACTCAGCGTCAGCGCGCAGCGTCACACAGCGTCAGCGCATAGCGTCACACAGCGTCATCACACAGCGTCATCGCGCAGCGTCACACAGCGTCATCGCACAGCGTCACACAGCGTCATCACACAGCGTCACACAGCGTCATCACACAGCGTCATCACACAGCGTCCCACAGCGTCATCACACAGCGTCATCACACAGCGTCACACAGCATCACACAGCGTCATCTCACAGCGTCATCGCGCAGCGTCACAGCGTCAGCGCGCAGCGTCACACAGCGTCAGCGCGCAGCGTCACACAGCGTCACACAGCGTCATCACACAGCATGATCGCGCAGCATCACACAGCGTCACACAGCGTCACACAGCGTCGCACCCGCGAAGAGATGAGGCTGAGGTCTGGCACGATGGTGGTGTGGACGAGGTTGCCGTTGACGACGAGCCGGATCTCGATGGAGTCGATGGTGAACGCCAGGATGTACGGGAACGCGCAAACTACACGCGCAGACGCACACACACAGAGACAAAGACCCCCGTGTAGCCGTAACAGACTGCTGGGGCAAGTGCTGTTATCGAGTGGCACCTATGAAGGCCGGAACGGTACACGAGGGGGTGGGTGGCCAGCACCAGGCCCGGCCGCCTTTGTCTCCCCAGTGACGATGTTTACACACCGCACCGGTTACTCATTTGAGGCCGAGTCGACCTAAGGGAGGCCCAGGACCGGTTCAGATAATCGTCACCGGTATTGGCCGTGAGCGGGAATCGAACCCGGGTCGCCGGGTTCGTAGCGCAGCGTAGCGCTAACCGCTGCACCACCGCTCCTCACAAACTATACACACACATACAACGATCCGCCGTGTAGCCTTAACAGACTGTAGGGGCAAGTTCTGTTAGCAGCGAGTAGCAGCGCATATAACAAAGACGAAGATCCCCCGTGTAGCCTTAACAGACTGTAGGGGCAAGTGCTGTTAGCGAGCACCTGTGAAGGCCGGCACTGTGGCACACGAGGGGGTGGGTGGCCAGCACCACGCCCGGCCGCCTTTGTCTCCCCAGTGGAGATGTTTACTACACGCCGCACCAGGTACTATTGAGGCTGAATCGACCTGGGGAGGCCCTGCACCGGTTCACTCTCCGACGTTCCGCACCACGTGCCGACTCCTGAAAAAGGTCCAACTTGCACACGCGAGCGAAACGTCGGAGAACGACGAGTCACGGCGGCGGCGGCACGACGGGAACTCTGGACATCCGTGAAAAAGAGCTTTATAGCTCATCGGATTTCTCCAGTACACATGAAGATTCTGATTCGAAACTCGCATTGGAGAGCCGGGTGAAGTGAAGTTGTGGGTCGGGTGAAGTGAAGTTGTAGGTCACGTGAAGTGAAGTTGTGGGCCAGGTGGAGTGAAGTTGTGGGTCGGGTGAAGTGAAGTCATGGGTCAGGTGAAGTGAAGTTGTGGGTCAGGTGGAGTGAAGTTGTGGGTCAGGTGAAGTGAAGTTGTGGGCCAGGTGAAGTGAAGTTGTGGGTGAGGTGAAGTGAAGTTGTGGGTCAGGTGAAGTGAAGTTGTGGGTCAGGTGGAGTGAAGTTGTGGGCCAGGTGAAGTGAAGTTGTGGGTCAGGTGGAGTGAAGTTGTGGGTCACGTGAAGTGAAGTTGTGGGCCAGGTGAAGTGAAGTTGTGGGTCAGGTGAAGTGAAGTTGTGGGTCAGGTGAAGTGAAGTTGTGGGCCAGGTGAAGTGAAGTTGTGGGTCAGGTGGAGTGAAGTTGTGGGTCACGTGAAGTGAAGTTGTGGGTCAGGTGAAGTGAAGTTGTGGGTCAGGTGAAGTGAAGTTGTGGGCCAGGTGAAGTGAAGTTGTGGGTCACGTGAAGTGAAGTTGTGGGTCAGGTGAAGTGAAGTTGTGGGTCAGGTGAAGTGAAGTTGTGGGTCAGGTGAAGTGAAGTTGTGGGTCAGGTGAAGTGAAGTTGTGGGTCAGGTGTAGTGAAGTTGTGGGTCAGGTGAAGTGAAGTTGTGAGTCAGGTGAAGTGAAGTCATGGGTCAGGTGAAGTGAAGTTGTGGGTCAGGTGAAGTGAAGTTGTGGGTCAGGTGTAGTGAAGTTGTGGGTCAGGTGAAGTGAAGTTGTGGGTCAGGTGAAGTGAAGTTGTGGGCCAGGTGAAGTGAAGTTGTGGGTCAGGTGAAGTGAAGTTGTGGGTCAGGTGAAGTGAAGTTGTGGGTCAGGTGAAGTGAAGTTGTGGGTCAGGTGAAGTGAAGTTGTGGGTCAGGTGAAGTGAAGTTGTGGGTCAGGTGTAGTGAAGTTGTGGGTCAGGTGAAGTGAAGTTGTGGGTCAGGTGAAGTGAAGTTGTGGGTCAGGTGTAGTGAAGTTGTGGGTCAGGTGTAGTGAAGTTGTGGGTCAGGTGAAGTGAAGTTGTGGGTCAGGTGAAGTGAAGTTGTGGGTCAGGTGTAGTGAAGTTGTGGGTCGGGTGAAGTGAAGTTGTGGGTCAGGTGAAGTGAAGTTGTGGGTCAGGTGAAGTGAAGTTGTGGGCCAGGTGAAGTGAAGTTGTGGGTCAGGTGAAGTGAAGTTGTGGGTCAGGTGTAGTGAAGTTGTGGGTCGGGTGAAGTGAAGTTGTGGGTCAGGTGTAGTGAAGTTGTGGGTCAGGTGAAGTGAAGTTGTGGGTCAGGTGAAGTGAAGTCGTGGGTCGGGTGAAGTGAAGTTGTGGGTCAGGTGAAGTGAAGTTGTGGGTCAGGTGAAGTGAAGTTGTGGGTCAGGTGTAGTGAAGTTGTGGGTCAGGTGAAGTGAAGTCGTGGGTCAGGTGAAGTGAAGTTGTGGGTCAGGTGAAGTGAAGTTGTGGGTCAGGTGAAGTGAAGTCGTGGGTCAGGTGAAGTGAAGTCGTGGGTCAGGTGAAGTGAAGTTGTGGGTCAGGTGGAGTGAAGTTGTGGGTCAGGTGAAGTGAAGTTGTGGGTCAGGTGAAGTGAAGTTGTGGGTCAGGTGAAGTGAAGTTGTGGGTCAGGTGAAGTGAAGTTGTGGGCCAGGTGAAGTGAAGTTGTGGGTCAGGTGAAGTGAAGTTGTGGGCCAGGTGAAGTGAAGTTGTGGGCCAGGTGAAGTGAAGTTGTGGGCCGGGTGAAGTGAAGTTGTGGGTCAGGTGAAGTGAAGTTGTGGGCCGGGTGTAGTGAAGTTGTGGGTCAGGTGAAGTGAAGTTGTGGGTCAGGTGAAGTGAAGTTGTGGGTCAGGTGAAGTGAAGTTGTGGGTCGGGTGAAGTGAAGTTGTGGGTCGGGTGAAGTGAAGTTGTGGGTCGGGTGAAGTGAAGTTGTGGGTCGGGTGAAGTGAAGTTGTGGGTCAGGTGAAGTGAAGTTGTGGGTCAGGTGAAGTGAAGTTGTGGGTCGGGTGAAGTGAAGTTGTGGGTCGGGTGAAGTGAAGTTGTGGGCCAGGTGTAGTGAAGTTGTGGGCCAGGTGTAGTGAAGTTGTGGGTCAGGTGAAGTGAAGTTGTGGGTCAGGTGAAGTGAAGTTGTGGGTCAGGTGAAGTGAAGTTGTGGGTCGGGTGTAGTGAAGTTGTGGGTCAGGTGAAGTGAAGTTGTGGGTCAGGTGAAGTGAAGTTGTGAGTCAGGTGAAGTGAAGTTGTGGGCCAGGTGAAGTGAAGTTGTGGGTCAGGTGAAGTGAAGTTGTGGGTCAGGTGGAGTGAAGTTGTGGGCCAGGTGAAGTGAAGTTGTGGGTCAGGTGAAGTGAAGTTGTGGGTCAGGTGAAGTTGTGGGTCAGGTGAAGTCAAGTTGTGGGTCAGGTGAAGTTGTGGGTCAGGTGAAGTCAAGTTGTGGGTCAGGTGAAGTTGTGGGTCAGGTGTAGTGAAGTTGTGGGTCAGGTGAAGTTGTGGGTCAGGTGAAGTGAAGTTGTGGGTCAGGTGAAGTGAAGTTGTGGGTCAGGTGAAGTGAAGTTGTGGGTCAGGTGGAGTGAAGTTGTGGGTCAGGTGAAGTGAAGTTGTGGGTCAGGTGAAGTGAAGTTGTGGGTCAGGTGAAGTGAAGTTGTGGGTCAGGTGGAGTGAAGTTGTGGGTCAGGTGAAGTGAAGTTGTGGGCCAGGTGAAGTGAAGTTGTGGGTCAGGTGAAGTGAAGTCGTGGGCCACATTCCTGCCATCGGCCCTCACCGATGGAGCTGGGAAGCTGGTTCCAAGTGAAGTGGTAGTCTGAAGCGGACGACTGCAACTGCGGGGAGTTCCCATTGAAGGGCAGGACCTTCTTGTAAAAGCAGGTGTCTGCAAAGACAAAGACAAAGGTGCCCCGTGTAGCTCTGACACACTGTTATCGTGAGAGTGCTGCTCGCAAAGTGGCACCTGTGAAGGCCGGCACGGAAACACGAGGGGGTGGGTGACCAGCACCACGCCCGGCCGTCTTTGTCTCCCCAAATGCCGATGTTTACACGGCGCACCGGGAGGCCCAGCGCCGGTTCGGTTTATTACTCTGAGCGCCTGATGTTATGACGTGCAAATCGTTATCGTGAGAGTGACGATGATGGTGATGATGATGGCGACGATGAGGAGGAGGACGAGGAGGAACTCACAGTTGAAGCAGATGAGCAACCCGGCTTCTCCATCCTCGTAGAGATCAATCGCGGCGACGAAGTTCACCTGGGAGAGAAGCACAGTGCCACTCAGCGTCGATGAGGTCGACGATGATGATGATGACGACGGCGATGATGATGACAGTGCTGACTATGATGATCATTATGACGATGATGATGACAATGATGACGATAATGACAAGGATGATGATGGTGATGACAATGATGATGATGACGATGATGACGATGTTGACAGTGATAATGATGACAATGATGATGTTGACGATTACTCTTGCCTTGCTGGCGTCGATGTTGCGCGGGCAGTGGCGATGAAGGTGATGGCAGTGATTTATGGTGGCTATGATGGTGGTGATGGTGGTGATGGTAGTGATGGTGGTGATGCTCGTGGTGGTGGTGGCGGTGATGGTGGTGGTGATGGTAGTGATGGTGGTGATGGTAGTGATTTTGGTGGTGGTGGTGGTGGTGGTGAAGGTGGTGATGGTGGCGGTGATGGTGGTGGTGATGGTGGTGGTGGCAGTGATGGCGGTGATGGTGGTGGTGGTGAAGGTGGTGATGGTGGCGGTGATGGTGGTGGTGATGGTGGTGGTGGCAGTGATGGCGGTGATGGTGGTGGTGCTGATGGTGGTGATGGTGGTGGTGATGGCGGTGATGGTGGTGGTGGTGATGGTGATGATGATGGTGGTGATGGTGGTGGTGATGGCGGTGATGGCGGTGATGGTGGTGGTGATGGTGTGCCTCACCTTGCTGGCGTCCACGGTGTGCAGGCGGTGGCACTCCCCGGTGCTCTCGCTGACGAGGTCGAACTGGTGGCGGTAGGCCACGCACAGCACATTGTCGTTCTCACCCGTGGGGCCGTCCACCAGCGTGAGTACCAGCGGCGTGTCGGACAGACAGATCTCCTGGACGGCACATCGTCGTCAACATCGTCGTCGACATCGTCGTCGACATCGTCATCAACATCGTCGTCAACATCATCCACATTGCCATCAACATCGACGTCAACATCATCGTCAAAGTCGTTGTCAACATCGTCGTCAACATCATCGTCAACATCATTGTCAACATGATCGTCAGCATCGTCGTCGACATCGTCTCAACATCGTCGTCAACATCGTCGTCAACGTCATCATCACAATCATCGGCATCATCATCAGAGGAGAAGGAGTGTCCAATAAACAGATCTCCTGGATGGCACATCGACATCGTCGTCAACATCATCGTCATCATCGTCAACATCGTCATCATTGTCAACATCATTGTCAACATCGTCGTCAACATCGTCAACATTATCGTCAACACTCTCCTGTATCTACTGGGACTCCACTCACCCGTATGTACTGGAACTCCACTCTCCTGTATCTACTGGAACTCCACTCTCCTGTATCTACTGGGACTCCACTCTCCCGTATCTACTGGGACTCCACTCTCCTGTATGTACTGGGACTCCACTCTCCTGTATGTACTGGGACTCCACTCTCCTGTATCTACTGGGACTCCACTCACCCGTATCTACTGGGACTCCACTCTCCTGTATCTACTGGGACTCCACTCTCCTGTATCTACTGGAACTCCACTCTCCTGTATCTACTGGGACTCCACTCTCCTGTATCTACTGGGACTCCACTCACCCGTATCTACTGGGACTCCACTCTCCTGTACCTACTGGAACTCCACTCACCTGTATTTACTGGGACTCCACTCACCTGTATCTACTGGGACTCCACTCTCCTGTATCTACTGGGACTCCACTCACCCGTATCTACTGGGACTCCACTCACCTGTATCTACTGGAACTCCACTCTCCTGTATCTACTGGAACTCCACTCTCCTGTATCTACTGGAACTCCACTCACCCGTATGTACTGGGACTCCACTCTCCTGTATCTACTGGAACTCCACTCTCCTGTATCTACTGGGACTCCACTCTCCTGTATCTACTGGGACTCCACTCTCCTGTATCTACTGGAACTCCACTCTCCTGTATCTACTGGAACTCCACTCTCCTGTATCTACTGGGACTCCACTCTCCTGTATCTACTGGGACTCCACTCTCCTGTATCTACTGGGACTCCACTCTCCCGTATCTACTGGAACTCCACTCACCCGTATGTACTGGGACTCCACTCTCCTGTATCTACTGGAACTCCACTCACCTGTATGTAATGGGACTCCACTCTCCTGTATGTACTGGGACTCCACTCACCCGTATCTACTGGGACTCCACTCACCCATATCTACTGGGACTTCACTCTCCTGTATCTACTGGGACTCTACTCACCCGTATGTACTGGGACTCCACTCTCCTGTATCTACTGGGACTCCACTCTCCTGTATCTACTGGGACTCCACTCACCCGTATCTACTGGGACTCCACTCTCCTGTATGTACTGGGACTCCACTCTCTGTATCTACTGGGACTCCACTCTCTGTATCTACTGGGACTCCACTCTCCTGTATCTACTGGGACTCCACTCACCCGTATCTACTGGGACTCCACTCTCCTGTATTCACTGGGACTCCACTCTCCTGTATTTACTCGGACTCCACTCTCCTGTATGTACTGGGACTCCACTCTCCCGTATCTACTGGAACTCCACTCACCCGTATCTACTGGGACTCCACTCACTCGTATGTAATGGGACTCCACTCTCCTGTATCTACTGGGACTCCACTCTCTGTATCTACTGGGACTCCACTCACCCGTATCTACTGGGATTCCACTCTCCTGTATCTACTGGCACTCCACTCACCCGTATGTACTGGGACTCCACTCACCCGTATGTACTGGAACTCCTCCACGGGCGAGTCGGCCGGCACTCCGCCGGGCGAGCGCCTCCACGTGGCCAGAAGAAGTTTGTAGCGGATGGCGCTCACCACCCGCAGGTTGCCACCCGCGCTGTGCGTGTTCACCGCGTACAGGTGGCAACCTTCACCCACACACGCGCGGACAAACAAAGACAAAGATCCCCCGTGTAGCCTTAACACACTGTCGGGGCAAGCGCTGCTAGCGAGCGCCTACGAAGGCCGGAACGGCACACGAGGGGGTGGGTGGCCAGCACCCACGCCCGACCGCCTTTGTCTCCCCAGTGGCCACTGGGCGGCGGCGGTGTTGCGGGTCAGCGCCACGCTGCGCCACGCGGCAACCCGAGTTTGATTCCCACTCATGGCCACCACCGGGTGACGAGTATCAGAACCGGTCCAAGGCCTCCCCTAGGTCGACTCGGCCTCAAATGAGTACCTGGGGTGGGTGCTGGCCGCCCACCCCAGGTACACCCCCTCGTGTGCCGTGCCGGCCTTCATAGATGCTGCTCGCTAACAGCACTTGCCCCAACAATCTGTTCAGGCTATACGGGGGATCTTTGTGTTATCCTTGTGTGCGTGTGTGTGTGCGCACGTGTGTGTGTGCGCGTGTGTGCGTATGTGCGTGCGCGCGTGTGTGTGCGTATGTGTGTGTGCGCGCGTGTGTATGAATGTGCGCGCGTGCGCGTTTGTACATGTGCATGTGCGTGTGTGTGTGCGCGCGTGTGTGCGTGCGTGTGCCCGTGTGTGTGCGTATGTGTGTGTGTGTACGTGCGTGTGCCCGTGTGTGTGCGTATCTGTGTGTGCGTACGTGTGTGTGTGTGTGCGTGCCCGACACTCTCCCCACCCCCCCCGACAACCTTTCGTCTTCTCCAGTTTGTGCTCACGGCACTCGACGCGTCCGAGCACCCCGGCCTGCTCCTCCACCGACTTCCAGACGGCCGACAGGCGGAACACGAACACGCGCGACTCCTTGCCTGTGACGCGCGCGCGGACGTGCGGAGAGATGGGCAGGTGAACGGGACAGACGCACTCAGACGACCAGCAACCACAACAGAGGCAGCGACAGAGACAAAGGTCCCCCGTGTAGCCTCAACAGAGCGTTGGGGCGAGCGCTTTTGGGGGGCGGCAGCGTCTGTAGGGCCGGCACGGCACGCGAGGGGGCGGGTGGCCAGCACCCGCGCCTGGCCGCCCGATGTTTACTACATCGCCACCCCAGGTACTCGTTTAAGGCTGAGTCGACCTAGGGGAGGCCCACGAACCAGCTACAATGCTCGCCACTGCTGTTGGTAGTGGGCGGGGGTTGAACGCGGGTCGCCGGGTTCATGGCGATTACCCACAGATACTCGGACAGACACATGGGCAGACACACGGTCCGTCCGTGTGTCTGCCCATGTGACCGACTGATGGACGGACGAACACGTGTCAATGGCGTGTCCACGTCACCATGGCGTGTCCGCGTGTCCGTATGTCCATACAGGGGCGCTACGGTGGCTAGGAGATGTTAACTACCTCGCCTCGTGTACAGGAGGTCGTGGATTCAATCCCGACCCTCACGCCTGCTGCTGTATATTTGGAGTCTGCGTGTCTCTCTCTCTCATCATCACGGTGGCTATGAGATGTTAACTACCTCGCCTGGTGTACAGGAGGCCGTGGGTTCGATCTCGACCCAGACGCCTGCTGCTGCTGTATATTTGAACTTTGCGTGTCTCTCTCTCTCATCATCATCACGGTGGCTATGAGATGTTAACTACCTCGCCTGGTGTACAGGAGGTCGTGGGTTCGATCCCGACCCTGACGCCTGCTGCTGTATATTTGGAGTTTGCGTGTCTCTCTCTCTCTCCCCGTGGTCACGTGGACTATTTAGCTGCTGCTCTAAATTTCCACACGATGATGATGATGACCCCACTTCGATGAGTGGTCATTCGTGGCCAGGAAGCTTCTGAAAAACGAACTACATAGCCGCTCAGTGGGGCCTTTACCTGGTCAAATAAAAAAAACACAAATAGCTTGTCGAATAGTTCACAGTGAGTGACCGCATGTCCAATGCGTGTCCTCACCCTTCTCGTTGCGCAGCACCAGCATGTCCAGTGCCTCGATCACGTTCATCTGGCGCACGGAGAAACTGCGGTCCAGCACCGGCAGAGGCGGCTGCCCCTCTGGGGTGGGGAGAGCGCGGAGCCGGCGTTAGGAGGGCTCCCAACGATCCCCGGGTCACGATGAAACGGCTCTGTCTGTCCGTGCGTGTGACCCGGGGGGTGGCGGTGACGCGGGGGGCGGCGGTGACGCGGGGGGTGGCGGTGAAGCGGGGGGTCGCGGTGACGCGGGGGTCGCGGTGACACGGGGGGTGGCGGTGACGCGGGGGTCGCGGTGACGCGGGGGTCGCGGTGACACGGGGGGTCGCGGGGGTGGCGGTGACGCGGGGGTGGCGGTGACGCGGGGGTCGCGGTGACACGGAGGGTGGCGGTGACGCGGGGGTCGCGGTGACGCGGGGGTCGCGGTGACGCGGGGGGTCGCGGGGGTGGCGGTGACGCGGGGGTGGCGGTGACGCGGGGGTCACGGTAACTCCTATAGAGTTGATCTGATACGAGTGACTAAGGGGTTAACGCATTGGCTCTGGCGATGTTGGTGGTAGTGGCGGTGGTGGCGATGGCGGTGGTGACAGTGGTGGCGACGGTGGTAGTTGCGGTAGTGGAGGTAGTGATAGTGATGGCGGTGGTGACGGTAGCGGTGGCGGTAGTGACGGTAGCGGCGGTGGTGACGGTAGCAGTGACGGTAGTGACGGTAGTGAAGGTAGCGGCGGTAGTGACGGTAGCGGCGGTGGTGACGGTAGCGGTGGCGGTGGCGTCGATCCGGCGCCGCCGCGTACCGTGGAGGAGCAGGACGCCGGCCTCCGTGGAGACGAGCAGCCCGCTCCGCCATGAGTCGGCACAGTACACCTCGTACGGGAAGTTCTGCCCGTAGCACTGCGGCTCCCAGGGCTGCGTGAGCGGGAGGCAAGCGCATCAATGAACGCAGCCGACCGCCGTTCATCCGGCACGACGCGCGATTACTACCCGGACGCCTTCCGCTCCGTCTGCGGGGAGGAAACCCGATGCACGTGCAGAGCACTCGAGGATTTTCCACCTGACGGGCGTTCGCGGGAGACGCGTCGGGCGACGGACGAACGTTTGGGTTACTGTTGCGGTCGACGTTGGCTCGCCCGCGGCACGTGACGGGTTACCCAGGCAACGGGGAGCCACCTGCGGTTGTCGCCGTGCGCCATGGTCAAGGTTGGGCTAACAATCCGTTTTAACCTTTCTGGCAATAGAACAGTCGCGTCAAGATGTTAAAACACCAAACAGAATCCCCGTTCAATGAATCCTGTTCAGCATTAACCACACGTGCTCGTGGTGAACATGCAAACACGAAAAACTCTCCGATAACATATGGCACTTGCCGCCGAGAGCGACTGGTCCACGCCAGAGACGGCCGTCGGTCTCGGCGGCAATTGTCACATTTCACCTCCACGTGCCGCCCCGCTCGGAGCGGGATGAGCGCCGGTGACTTCGAGGGGGCTTCGCTCACCTCCTTCCTG